GCGCCTCACCAAGCGGCTCCACCGGCTCACATCCCTGGTCGGCCTGCGGGGGGCGGGGCTCGACCAAGGGGGCGGGGCCAGAACCGGAAGGGAGGGGAGAGGTGAGGGGGCGTGGCCAAAGGCTGTGGAGGCGGAAGGGCTATTTAAAGGCGCAGGGGCGGGGGAGCCTGGTCTCTCAGCTCAGGGTGTTCCCGCCAGTGGGCACCTCAGGGCACTCGGGAGACGTCTGGGGGCTGCGTCAGCACAGCTGTCCTGTGGAGAAAATGGGATTTTGCCGTGTTATTTTTGTACTTTTTACACCCAAAAATGTCATCGCCCGCCCACCTACGACTAAGTTCCTTAAGTCGTTGGTGGTAGAATCATAGGACTGGAAGGGACCTCGAGAGGTCATCGAGTCCAGCCCCCCGCCCTCAAGGCAGGACCAAGCTCCACCTACACCATCCCTGACAGATGTCTATCTAACCTGTTCTTAAATATCTCCAGAGAGGGAGATTCCACCACCTCCCTTGGCAATTTATTCCAATATTTGACCACCCTGACAGTTAGGAATTTTTTCCTAATGTCCAATCTAAACCTCCCTTGCTGCACTTTAAGCCCATTACTCCTTGTCCTGTCCTCAGAAACCAAGAGGAACAAATTTTCTCCTTCCTCCTTGTGACACCCTTTTAGATATTTGAAAACCGCTATCATGTCCCCCCTTAATCTTCTTTTTTCCAAACTAAACAAGCCCAGTTCATGAAGCCTGGCTTCATAGGTCATGTTCTCTAAACCTTTAATCATTCTTGTCGCTCTTCTCTGTACCCTTTCCAATTTCTCCACATCTTTCTTGAAATGTGGCGCCCAGAACTGGACACAGTACTCCAGCTGAGGCCTAACTAGTGCAGAGTAGAGCGGCAGAATGACTTCACGAGTTTTGCTTACAACACACCTGTTGATACAACCTAGAATCATATTTGCTTTTTTTTTTGTGTTGCCATAGTAGAAAAAAATTGTAGCTAGTTTTCCATTAAAAGCATTTTCGTGTCTAGATTGGCACGGATGCACTTTTTGCAGAAAAGCGTCCGTGGCCAATCTAGACGCGCTTTTGCGCAAAAAAGCCCCGATCGCCATTTTAGCCAGCGGGAATTTTTTGTGCAAAACAGTTCTGTGCTGTCTACATTGGCCCCCTTGCGCAAATGATTTGTGCAAGAGGGCTTTTGCCCGAACAGGAGCAGCATAGTATTTCCGGAAAAGCACTGACGATCTTACATGAGATCGTCAGTGCTAAATTCAAGCGGCCAGTGTAGACAGCTGGCAAGTTTTTCTGGAAAAGCGGCTGATTTTCTGGAAAAACTGGCCAGTCTAGACACAGCCTGTGTGTGTCTGAAATCTGTAGGTACTGGGGGTACTTATAATTTTTGTTAAGGGGGTACTTTATAAAAAAAGGTTGACACACTGTCTTAGCCAATGTTCCCCATCGCCCGTCCTCAGGGGAGGAGAAAGGGGTGCCCACTGCTACAGTCAGCATGGTGGCATAGAGCTCTGTCCCCCTCCCGGCTAGTCACAGGGCTTAAGATGGGTTGAAACAGGAGGGCTATGTCTACACTGGCGGCTTCTTGTGCAAGAACATCTTGCGCAAGTGTTCTTGTGCAGGAAATCTTGCACAAGAAAATGTCCACACTGCCATGTGCGAGCTGTGCTTTTGCGCAAGAGCGCCCATGGCAGCGTGGATGCTCTCTTGTGCAAGAAAGGTGCAAGAGTGTGGGTGCTCTGCAGATTCTTGCACAAGAACGGCCATACTTGTGCAAGAAGCCGCGAGTGTAGACATAGCTGAGGGGTGCTCCTGAAAAACATTGAGACTGAATAGTGGGAGTGTCCTTATAAAATGGGAACACCTGGTCACCCTCGCTGGGATGAGAAAGGTATCATAGAATCATAGAACCATAGAGCTGGAAGAGACCTTAGAAGGTCATCAAGTCCAGCCCCCTGCTCTAGGCAGGACCAATCCCAACTAAATCAACCCTGCCAGGGCCTTGTCAAGCCGAGACTTAAACACCTCTAGGGATGGAGACTCCACTACTTCCCTAGGCAACCCATCCCAGTGCTTCACCACCCTCCTAATAGTTTTTCCTAATATCCAACCTGGACCTCTCCCACCACAACTTGAGACCATTGCTCCTTGTTCTGCCATCTGTCACTACTGAGAACAGCCTCT